GCCAGGCCCGTAACCCTTCAGAGCCGTTCTGTGTATGCCGAGGATAGGGCAACACACTGCCCTCCTTCATGGGACAGCTTGAAATCCCCAGCGCTCCCACAGGTTCACGAAGACCCTTCTAGGATGTCCAACATGCCTGGTAAGTCTGACTCACTGCCTTAGTCTGAGCTGCACTGAGAAAAACCCTCGGCTTCGCATTCCATCTAGGATCTCCTGCCTGAAGTCACCCTGCCTCCAGGAGAAAGTGGGCTTACGTTCCGACTGCCACTAAAGGCCGGTTCTTCGTGTAACACTGCAGTCTTTTGAAGAGCCTCAGGCCCGAGGCCTGGCTAGGGCATACCTTGGTTGAGGCATTTTGCTAGATGCAGAACACCCTGCTTCGAGGAGGTGATTCAGGGAAGGAAGGACTGGGTAACCTCTGTCTCTTTTGACATGTTAGAAACCACAGGGATGTATGCTGCGTGTGCCCATGGAAATGGATGCCTAGTGGAACTAGCCTTGCTTTCCCATTTGGAAAGCTCCATGCATGCTGCCTTGAAGCTACCTGAAATTCATTTCTGTTTACAGGCCTCTAGCCAGTGTAGGCCTGGCTCTGGGAAAAAAATGAGATTCCTCTATCTAAACCACGTGCTTCCATGGCCGGTGTGGAGCTCAGCCTACCATGCTCTAGAGCTAAAGGGAAACTCAACGTGAGTAGCTGCGTCGAGGACAGGCCCTGATTATCCGTACAGAAAGGGAGGCATGCATCTTTTTCCATGAGGTCTTAGTCACAGTTCTGCTGTAGTTTAATGGGAGTACCCTTTTCAGGAGTCCTAGGCCCTTCGGGTGTGCACCATTTCCTTCCAGGATCACTGAATACCTCCAGACCCCTGTGGGCCTGCTGAGCAACATCGAGGCCAATAGGTCTGTCCTTCGGAGGCCCTCTGTGTTTGCCGAGTGATGGGCAACACACTGCATGTTCGTTAAGGAGAGGTACATTTCCAGAGCCCTCGAGCAGCCTCAGGACCTTAATTCTGGCCAGTCCGACGTGCCATGGAAGTCTTTGTCATGGCCGTAGTCGGAGCTGCCATCAGATAATATTCTGCTTACAATTCTTCTAAGACCTCGTACTTGAAGTCACTCTGGTCGAGGAGAAATTCAACATCCAGCCATGCTGAGTTGCTAACAGGGCACTCAGCGTGATCACTTGCCTCAAGGTAAGGCCCCGAATTGCCGTGCAGAAGCCGAGGTGTGCAGCAGTTTCCATGAGCCCTTAGCAGCTGCTCTGCAATATCTTAATGGCAGTACGCTTTTCAGGACACCTAGGAGCTTCGCGTGGGCACCCTATTCCCGGCAGGAACAGTAAGTACCCCCAGGACCCCCTGAGCATCCTTAGAAACTGCAGTGGCCGTAACCCATCAGAGCTACTCTGTGTATGCCGAGTGTTCGGCAACACGCTGAATGTTCCTTAAGGAGAGCTACATTTCCAGAATTCTCGAGCTGCCTCAGGACCACATTTCTGGCCTGTCCAACGTGCCATGGAAGTGTACGTCATGACCGTCGTCTGTGCTGCCATGGGAAAACGTTCTGCTTCCAATTCTTCAAGGAGCTTGTACCTGAAGTCTCTCTGCTCAAGGAAAAATTCACCATCCTACCATGCTGTGTTGCTAACGGGACACTCAGCATGATCACTTGCCTCAAGATACCGCTCTGAATGGCCGTGCATAAGCGGAGGCGTGCAGAAGATTCCAGGAGGCCGTAGCCGCTGCTCTCCGTTATCTTAATGGCTTTTCAGGACACCTAGGAGTTTTGTGAGGGCACCGAATTCCCAGCAGGATCCCTGAGTACCCCAGGCACCCTGGGCCTGCAAAGAAATGTCCTTGCACGTATCCCTTCGGAGCCTGTCTGTTTATGCTGAGTGTAGCGCAGCACACTGCATTTCTTCATGGGACGTCTTGCAATCCCCTGCACTCCCAAAGTTCCAAGAACACCTTTTTAGCTCGTTCATCATTCCTGGTAAGTCTGACTCATTGCCCCAGTCTGACCTGCACTGAGAAAAACCCTCGGCTTCAAATTCCATCTCGGACCTCCTGCCTGAAGTCACCCTGCCTCCAGGAGAATGTTGGCTTGCATTCCGACCTCCACTAAAGCCCAGGTCTTCGTGTAACACTGCAGGATTTTGAAGAGCCACAGGCCCGAGCCCTAGCTACGGCGTACCTTGATTGAGGCAGTTTGCTAGATGCAGAATACCCTGCTTTGAGGAGCTGATTCAGGGAAGGCACCACTGGCTAACCAGAATCTATTTTTGACTTGTTAGAAACCACAGGGATGTATTCTGCGTGTGCCCATGTAAATGGGTGCCTAATGGAACTAGCCTTTCTTTCCCATTTTGAAAGCTGCATACATGGTGTCTTGAAGCAACCTGAAATTCACTGCTGTGGACAGGTCTGTAGTCACTGTAGGCCTGGCGCTGGAAAGAAAATGAATTTCCTTTAGCTGAACCAGGTCCTTCCATGGCTTGGGTGGGGCTCAGCCTGCCATGCTCTAGAGCTAAAGGAAACTCAATGTGAGCACTTGCTTCGAGAACGTGCCCAGGGTATCCATACAGAAAGGGAGGCATATAGCCATTTCCATGAGGTCTTAGTCACTGTTCTGCTGCATTTTAAAGGAAGTACCCTTTTCAGGACTCCTAAGCCCCTCAGGTGTGTGTCAATTCCCTGTATGATCACTGAGGACCTCCAGATCCCTGTGGGCCTTCTGAGCAACATCGATGCCCATAGGTCGGTCCCTTGGAGGCCCTCCGTGTAGGCTGAGTGATGGGCCACACACTGCACGTAGCTTAAGTAGAGTTACATTTCCAGAAACCTGGAACATTCTCAGGACCACATTTCTGGTCTCTCCGCTGTGCCATGGAAGTCTTCATTATGGCCGTCGTCTGACCTGCCATGGGAAAACATTCCGCTTACCATTCTTCGAGGACCTCTTACCTGTAGTCACTCTGCTCGAGGAGATATTCACCATCCTACCATGCTGTGTTGCTAACGGAACACTCAGCATGAGCACTTGTCGCAAGGTAAGGCCCTGAATTGCCATGCAAAAGCATAGGCGTGCAGCGGTTTCCATGTGCCTGTAACCACTGCTCTGCATTATCTTAAAGGCAGTACACTTCTCAGGACACCTAGGAGCCTCACATGGGCACGCTATTAACGGCAGGAACACTGAGTACCCCCAGGAGCCCCTGGGTCTGCTACGCAACATCCAGGCACGTTGCCCTTCAGTGTCACTCTGTGTATGTCGTGTGTAGGGCAGCACACTGCCCTCTTTTTTGGAGAACTTGGTTTCCTCAGCTGTGGCAGCAGTTGGTTTTTCATGGTGCCTGTTCTTCCCCTCAGCGTCCACTGCTGGTTATTCTCTTGTCTGGTGACTGCTGGCCAAACAAACACCTGTCGTTCTTCAAGGAAACAACGTCCCTCCTCGAGGAGGCTCCCCACCCCACGTCCTCTTCTGGCCTGCCCACCACAGCCGCTTGGCCTCCTGTTGGCTTAGTTGTTCCCCTGAATGTTCCGTGTCATAGCACTTGTCACACCACACTGTCATTTTCTGTCTGTCTGTCCTTTCCAGTAGTTGTAAGTTTCCTCTGGGGCTGCCTGGCTGGCTGATAGGTAGAGGAATGGATCCTGGACCTGTTGTCCTAGAACAGGACGGGCAGGGCAAAGCTTTTTCTCTCCATGTGCCTGCAGTCTTGGTGGAGTACAGGGCCTGGGACAAGGTGGGCCTGGGATTTGGGGGACATTCCAGATGCAAGTTGTTCTGTGAAAGCGGATTCTGCCTGATATCTTTAGCTAACCATGTAACGTGGCCATTGCTCTGTGGCAGAAGGCGTTTAGGCCTGTAGAGGAACTGCTTGCAGTTAGGCACACTCACCAATATTTAAATTCCTAAGGGACTTCCTAAATCACTGTCTAATTCCCAGTGAAAAATCATTCTTTAGTCTTTAACTACAGACTGGTTAAAGGTTATTATGTACAATGAAAGGTTGAAGGACAGACACAGTGGAATCACCCCAAGAAAAATAGTTCCAGACAGAAATTATAGTTGGTAAATGGAATTGGTGTGGAGTATAGATCTGAAACACCTGTGTTCCCACAGTGGCAACTCATATGATTGTGCAGTGCCTGGGTGTTGTAACGAGATCTACTAGCTATACTTTTTATGAGCTCCTGGGGGGGCAGGAGTCTGACAGCCTTGACAGAAGAGGCTTGAGCCTACTTGGGGTGCACAGTGAGAGAGTGGGCGGCCAGCTCTGCACGCAGGCAGACCGTCTGCACGCTTGTCACTATGGCTTGACCTATACAGCCAATCTCATCGTTTCTGCCCTCCCTCCTCTCTCCCCAGATTTCTGCTCCTAGACACTCCCCGTGATGTGCCACCTGTCTGCCATCCCACCTCACCTGCCCAACAATCACCGAATCTCATCTACTGCCTGCACATGGTCCACTGGCGCAATCTTGTTCTGGCATCTGCTTGGATGTGTGCACCATTTCCTAGCTGATCTCTGCAGGGCCTCGCTCCCCAGCATTGTCCTCACTGGGGCCCAGGGCTCACTCTAAACGCTGGAGCCTCCCAACCCTGTATCAGGGCCGCCCCGTTGTTCCCACCAGAAGCTCAGCCCCCGTCCTCAGGGGCCTGTGGTCCTGTCCATACAGTGTGTCCTGGGCCTGCCTTGTGAGGCAGCCTCACTGGCCGGAGCCCTGGGAACCTTCCCTTCCTCACCAACCCTCCTCCTCCTGCGGCTGCCCCTCCCACCCTGCATCCCCCATAGGGATCCTTGACGGTGGCTGGCTCGGGCACTTCCACTCTGGGGAGGGGCACAGGAATTATTCTCTGCCTCCCCCATCAGCCAGCACCTTGAGAACAGAAATTCTGCTTTTGTGTATTTATTTAGGCTGGGCCATGCAGCATGCGGGATTTTAGTTCCCCCACCAAGGATTGAACCTGCCCCCCTGCAGTGGAAGCCCTGAGTCTTCACCTCTGGACCACCAGGGAAGTCCCAGAGATTCTGCATTTAAACTTTATATCTGCCCAGTTTCTGTGTCCTGTGTTCCTGAGCGGCACGTGTTCATAGAAGGGAGGTAAGATGTGTGGACTCTCTTTTCTGGTTGTTGGCTGAGTATCTACTGTCCACTGTGGGTCATCTAAGGGCCCAGACCAAGTACTCTGTTCCTGCTGTGACCCGTGCTTCTGCTACCACATACTGCACAGGGTAAGTACCTCAAAGTCCTAGCTGAACAGCTAATAGAGAGACAGGTCTCACCGTTGCTTCTCCACCTGCATCTTACAGAGGTGGAAAGTAGGAACTGCAGCCCAGCAAGCCACGGACCCAGGCAATCCTAAAACTGCAAAGTCGCCTGTGTTGATTCCTGCCAGCTTTTAGTAAGTAAATCCGTGACTCCTGTAAGAAGAGATTTCAGAAGATGTGTACCTTCTACAGAATTCACATTTAGTGTGGAGGGTGTGAAAAGGTATACACAATTTTAATCTATTTATTTTACTAATAGCATATCTTAATGATTGAAAAATGGCCTTTCCTATAAATAAAAAGAAAACCAGAAAGTACTCATACTTTACACACCTAGTGTTCACGATCTAATGGGCGTGCTTCGACTTCCGCTCTCTCGTCTGAGACTCCACGATGGACAGGACTCTCCTGGTGCAAGTGAAGTGGGGTCAAGCTGGAATGATGGTTTTCTGCTCCACCTCTGCTTCCTCTCTGCATCCTGGACTCTAAAGAAGATGAAAGAAATGTGTGCTCTGGTTGCTGTTTCATCTCCAACTTAACCTCAGTCTGTGGTTGTGGAATGCCTCAGAAGCCGGGAAGGTCCCCACCTCCAACATGGGGATTGTGGGGCTAGACCCAGGTTCCAGCCCAGCTCTGACATGCAGTGTGCTCAGTGGGACGTGTTGGCATGCATGCAAGGCTGTAGCGCTGCCAGCCCCCATATGCTGCCTTCTTGAGGGCTGGCGGTGCCCTTCAGGACTGGCTGCATCCTTCGTCCCATTTGAGTGGGAAATAGTAGATAATAAAACCTCAGAATATCCCTTGACTGCTGATCACCCACGCAGGCATCTGTGGTCCTCCAGCTCAGGCCTGCTTGGGCCCTGTCAAGCCCCTGTGGCCAATCACTGAGCTGACCTTGCTGCTGGGCAATTGAACAGCTACCTGGGCAGTGTAGACGGCCCCTTGGGATGTTTCAGTTCCCTACATGCACGTGATTGAGAAAAGGGCCTCTTCCCTCATAGCCTCCCAGGCTTCTGAGAGGAAATAACCCTCCAGACATTGAGTGTGGCCCTGGCCACCCTCAGCATACAGCAGACCGTGGCCCTGCATTCCCCTGGCCTTCGTGTTGGTGCAAACCTTTGACATTCCTGCCCATGAAAAATCAAAGTTATGGGAGCAAGTAGTTTCCCAACTGTTGTTTTCCCTCTGAGGCAGCGTGGTCTCCAGGAACCATGTGCATCCTGGACCCAGTCCCTGTGTTCTCCGGAAAGCCAGCCTACTGTGGCTTCCACAGTATAGAATAATCCTTGAGACGCTGTTCCATTGAATAACAGTTTCCTTACCACCTACCATTTGGTTTCTGTTCTCTGTAAAGGAGAGAGCAGAGACAGGAAAATGAGCAGATGTGTTCTGTGGAGATGGGTGATTATTATAGTCAGAGGGCAGGTGTGACTCCTGGTCTCCCACCTCCCAGGGACACAAATGAAGTCTGTGTGCCTTTTGAGGTACACAGGCAATCAGAGCCAGCCTCGGATGTGATGCCCAAAGCAAGAGTCTTGAGTTTACCACCAACAGCAAAGTTGCTAGTTTAGCTAGTGGAAGAGCTTCCTGCCATCAAGGGAGGACAGCAAAAGCCCTGGATGGGTGACCACAGTCACTGACCTTAAGTGAACCACTTCTTTTCTGTTAAAATGGACATTGAGTGAGTGTTGCCTGCAGTTTCTGGAAGCCTTGGATGCAGTGAGAGAGACTGTTTCTGTGAATGGGGCCACCCAAAGGCATTTACAGGACAAAGGATTGGAGAGAGACCACACCACACTACAAGAGAGTGAGACACCGGTACTGCCAGGTCCAAATCCATTCTTAAATTTATCTCTTGCAGTTATTAAATTATTTATATCACTTAAAAATAATGTTTTTATTTTACTTTAGTAAGTGTGTCCAGTCCATTGTAATAAAAAAGTCATAGCTGATACATCAGAACCAATAATCCCTTAGTTAGGGGCTGTGTCAGGGCCGGATTTAGGACGAGCATCTAGACCTTAGGGACAGTGTCACGGCCTTGGGATTAAATTCAGGGCCTGAGGTATTCACAGCACGAGGGCTTCAGTTAGCATAAGAGGCAGGACAGTTGCTAGGGATAGGCTTAGGGTAAAGTTTAGGGCTCGTGTCATGAAATGACCTAGGGATAGTGTCAAAACCTTAGTTACTGACAGTATCAGGTCCTTATTTATGACCAGTGTCAGGGCTTCACGTAGGAACTGCATCAGAGCATGACTTAGAGCGACAGGGCCTGAATGAGGCCTAGTGTCAGGCCCTTAGCTGGGGACACTGTCAGGACATGATGTACGAGCTGAATCGAGGCCTTTGTTGGATCAGCAGTAGGGTCTTAGTTACAGACATGATTAGGGTCTGAGTTAGTCATAGCGTCAAGGCCTCAGGCCTAGCTTCAGGGCCTGAGTTAGGCACAGCCTCAGGCCTTCACTTAGGGATAGCGACAGGGCTTTCTTAGGGACAGTGTCAGGCCCTTGGTTCAAAATGGGTCAGCATATTAGCTCAGGATAGTGTCCGGATTTTAGTTATTGCTGGTAGCAGGGCATATATTAGTGAAGATTCCTGGCTGTAGTTAGAGACAGTGTCAGGGCCTTAGTTAGGACTAGTCTGGGCCTTAGTTAGGGAGAGCATTCGGTCATCACTGATGGTAAGAGGCAGGAAATTATCTCAGGACAGAGTCAGTTCCCAGGCCAGGGACAGTGTCAGTAAATGAGCTACGGATAGTGTGAAGACTTCATTTATTGAGAGCATCAGGGTCCTAGTTAGGACCAGTGTCAGGGCTTTAATCAGTACTAGTGTCTGGTCTTTAATCAAGACCAGTGTCAGGGCTTCATATAGGAACTGCGTCAGAGCCTGAGGTACAGCAACAGGGCCTAAGTGAGTCATATCCTTAGGGCCTGAGTGAGGGACAGTGTCAGGGCATGACGTAGGAGTAGTATAAGGGCCTCTGTAAGATCAGCCTTAGGGTCTTCGTAAAAGACATTCTCAGGGCCTCTGTTAGGGACATCCTCAGGGCCTCCCTTAGGGACAGCGTCAGGGCTTACTTTGGGACAGTTTCAGGACATTTGTAAGACATGGGTGAGCATATTACCTCAGGATAATGTCCGGACTTTAGATATTGAGGGCAGCAGGGCCTTAGTTAGACACGGTGTCAGGGCCTGAGTTAGGATTAGCACCAGAGCCTTTGTTAGGTACAGTGTCAGGGACTGAGTTAGGAGTATTGTCAGAGCCTTGGTTAGAAAGAGTATCAGGGTCTGAGTTACTTGTAGTGTCAGGGCCTTATTTAGGCTAGAGACTCCAGGACCTTCCCTGCGTTCCAAAGGGCGGATTGGAACATTTGCTAATCAGGGAAGGGAGGGGATGCAGAGACAATGGAGGAACCATCAAGAAACAATACTGCAGCCTTGGGGCAGGATCCTGGTTTTGTCTCAAGGGATACAGGTAAGAGTATCTTTGGGCTCTTTATCAACTTAATACCCCCACAAAATAGAAGATTTTAGTCTTCTTTTTTTCAGAGAAGCTCAACAAGAGACCATCTGTGGCCAGATTAAAGGGAGTTAAGGCCCTGTACAGCCACTAATCCTTAGGAGCAACTGTGTCCTTAAACCATTGCTGTAAAACTCCTCACCAGATCCTCCCACATTGGGACGCATGGTTTTTGAGGGCACGACTTTTCTGTGTCCCCCTTTGGCTGCCAAAGCAGTAAAGCTATTCTTTTCTACTTCCTCCAAACCTCTGTCTCTGATATTCGATTTGGCACTGGTGCACAGAGGTCGAGTTTTTGACAACAAATTTAGTACCCAATGTGGGGCTGACTTGGGGATGGCCCCTGTTGGTCCCTGACTTGATCCGAGACAGAGATTTTGTCCACTCCAGCCTCTTTCGAGAGATTGTAGGGTTGGAGAATTCCTTTAGAGGGCAGACCACCTGGGACCCTTGCCTGGAAAGGCCGAGCCCCAGTCATCCCAGCAGTTAGAACTCTGGGGCAGGAATAGATGGTGGAAGTGGGACCTCTCTAGCAGGTGCCAAGGCCATCTTGGCCTTGTGGACATCCCTCTCTTCCTCCTGCCTGGGCTGCCCCGAATGTCCTTCTCCAAGGGATTATTTTGGGGCACCAGGAAAATAGCATTTGGGATGTTGCAGCACCTCAGCCGGCGTGTGGTAACTTCCCTGGCATGCAGTCTGAGGTCCTTTTAGCCCTGTACATTTGGGGGAACCTTGGTTCCCATTTGGGTGACTTTTCATTCCAGGATATCTCATTTGAAATGTGCACCCCTTGGACAGAGGACACAGGCTAAGTTGAGACTTGGAAGATGATTTGAGTCTTGTGTTGTTTGGTTTTTAGCTTCAGTTTGGTTTCTGGTTCCTTTGGTTTGAGGCTTCCACTGGTGTTTAGGATTTTGTTTTGTTTTTGTCCGTGTGTGAGTGTTCTATGGTTCAAGCATACAAAGTCCTTCTTCTTCAGGTCCATGTGATAGGCAATGGGCAAAATCCTGGCAGACAGGTCAACCTATAGTTGTAAACCTAAGACTAAGAAAAGAATGAAATTCTATTGTAATTTTGTCTGGCCAATGTATGGATACATTCTTGAAAAATGAGGAATGGTGGTCTTTGAATGGGAGTCTATATGACTATACTATCCTTCGGCTACAGTTATTTTGTCACAGGAAGAGAAAGAGAAAAGAAATTTCATATATTCAAGAATTTATGAAGCTACGTAATAAAGAAAGTGAGCAGCTAGGTAACAGGCTGATGGTACAAAGAGAAAAGAAAGTCACTTTGTAGTAGAGTTGGTTGTGTCTGAATGCAGAAAAAAATAAGGGGCAACATAAGATGGATACAGAAGATTATGAATATTTGTGCAAAAGGAACACTGAGGAAAGAGTTGTGCATGACCAGGATTTTCTAAGATGGATTTTGTTGGAAGTGGGTTAGGGCAAGCCTGGATTTGGTTTCTCCCTCCAAAGTTTTCTTGGAATGCTGCTTTTGATTGTGAACAGCTTGTGAGTTCCTTTGCCTGTGTCTGTGATCTGTATTTTTGTTTGAAATCCCTTTACTTTGGTTCAGTGAATAAGTGTTGTTTGGCCAATTCTAACAGTTCTTTTGATCTCCAGATAACTTTGAGCTGCTTTCGAAGGCCCTTGAGCCATCTCAGAGAGAAACGTTTGATTAGTATGTTAAATTACATGGAGTTCCTAAAAAGCTAGTATGTCCTGGTAAAATTTTATCAGTCATAATTCTAGTTACTTTTAAATGTTGTATGTAACAGCAATAATGGTTTCTTTTGTCATTTACATTGTGGTCAAATGTTTAACCATGACCTTTTAAGTCTTTATGTGATTTATAGATAGTTACTGTTGTGCTCTAACACTTTGCAAAAGTGCCCCATCTTCAAGAAGATCTATGTATAGGACCTTTTGGCAAGCACAGGTCTCTGATAAATTTCATATCCTAATGCCAAACTGGGTAAGAAATGAAAAATTTTAATGGAGAATCGGATGGATTCTTAAAAAGTTAATAGAAGGATTGGTTACTGAGTGAACTGGTGAATATGGTTATGTTTTTGTTTTTTTGTTACTGGCTTTGATCTGTGTTTTCCAGACACAGGGAAGTCCTTCCCCTCAAGCTACTTAGGACTTGGAGCAATTGGATAAATGACACCTCTGTATGGAAGTGTGTATTTATGAAAGTTACTGTGTTGGCTTCATTTTGCCCTGATGTGTAAGAGGAAAGGAAAATTACCTAGTGAAGTTATGAGAATGTAACTACTCATGATGTATCACTGTTTGCTTTAGGTCTGCTGCTAAAAGCACATGTGCAATGCCTGTGTGGCAATTGGGTATGAATAATAAAATGTATGGCCTATATAAAGCGTTTTCTCATTAACATTCCTCTGAGCATATTCACGATACCTGATTAGTATTCCCCCAATGTGGATTAATTAGGCAAATATAAAGGAGGCTTAGCGCTGAGGGACATGATCTACACGTGGGTCAAACAGCTGAATCATTCTGGCACTGAGGGATTGACATTTTGATTATCAATATTTCTCCTGAAAGACTTGTAATCAAAAGGGAAAAAAACTCTTCACATATTGAGGTGTGAGGAAGTCACTCTGGCTTATACATGGTTTAACTTAAATTTTACTGACCAAAGTGGCCTGTTTTGTGGTCTTTTGGATATGAATTGTACATCTGCTTTGGCATTGAGGAGGGGAATGCATTTGACTGTCAAAAAGGAGTAACTGTGGTTCAGACATACAAGATAAACCTAAGTGTACATTGTAGATGTGATTTAGATGCATTCTCGTATTTTTTTTTGTTTTCTTTTTTTTACATCTTTATTGGAGTATAATTGCTGTACAGTGGTGTGTTAGTTTCTGCTTTATAACAAAGTGAATCAGTTATACATATACATATGTTCCCATATCTCTTCCCTCTTGCGTCTCCCTCCCTCCCACCCTCCCTATCCCACCCCTCTAGGTGGTCACAAAGCGTCGAGCTGATATCCCTGTGTATATCTTTTAGAATTCGTGTTTTTGTTTCCTTCAGAAAAATACCACCAAGTGTAATTCCTGCATCATATGGTAATTTTATTTTTAATTTCTTGAGGATCCTCTGTACTGTTTTCCACAGTGGCTGCACCAATGAGAATTCCCAGGAGAATGCGTGAGGGTTTTCCTCATCCTCGCCAAGGCTTGTTATTTGTTGTCTTTTGGACGATAGCCAAGTTTTTAGGTGTGAGATGATAATCTCCTTTTTCTTTTGATGTGCATTCCCCTGATGATAAGTGATATTGGTCATAGTTTCATATGTCTCTTGGCCATCTGTACGTACTCTTTGGAAAAATGTTCAGTCCCAAGTTTTAATTGGGTTTTTGGTTTTTGGAGGTTCAGTTGTGTGAGTTCTTCATCTATTTTAGATATGAACCCCTTTTCCAACATATTGTTTGCAACTATTTTCTCACATTCGGTAGGCTGCCTCCTCATTTTGTGGATGTTTTCCTTTGCCATTGAAAAGATTTAAAGTTGGATGGAGTCCCATTGGTTTATTCTGCTTTTGTTCCCCTTGCTTGGGGAGATAGATCCAGAAAATATTGCTAAGACGGATGTCAAAGAGCATACTGCTTATGTTTTGTTCGAGGAGCTTTATGGTTTCAAGTCTTACATTGTAGTATTTGTTTCATTTTGAGGTTGCTTGTGTAGGTGGTATAAGAAAGGATTCCAGTTTGATTCTTGTGCATGTAGTTGTCCAGTTTTCGCACCACCATTCATTGAAGAGGCTATCTTTTCCCCATTGTATAGTCTCACCTCCGTTGTCATCGATGAATTGACCATATATGCCTATGTTTATTTCGGGGCTCTCAATTCTGTTCCATGGATCTATATGTATTTCTTTTGTTCCTATACCATACTGTCTTGATTATTCTAGATATGTAGTATAGTTTGAAACAGGGAGTGTGATATGTCCAAGTTTGTGCTTCTTTCTTAAGATCGTATTGGCTATTCAGGTTCTTCTCTGTTTCCTTACACGTATTAGAATTCTTTGTTTTAGTTCTCATAAAATTCCATTGGTGTTTTGATAGGAATGGCATCAAATCTCCAGATTCCTCTGGGGTGTGGATTCATTTTAACAAAATGAATTCTTCCAATCCATGAACGCATTATATCTGTCCATTTGTTTGTGTCGTCTCCAATTTCTTTCTTCAGTGTCTTCCAGTTTTCTGAGTACAGGTCTTTTACCTCCTGGGTTAGATGTATTCCTAGCTATTTCATTTTTGTTAATATCATTGTCAATGGGGTTGTTTTCTTAATTTCTCATTCTGATAGTTTGTTGCCAGTGTATAGAGATGCAACAGATTTCTATAGATTAATTTTGTATCCTGCAACTTAACTGAATTTTCCAATGAATTCCATTTGCTTTGGCGGTCAATTTAAGGGTTTTCTATATAAAACATCATGTCAGGACTTCCCCGGTGGCACAGGGGTTAAGACTCCACACTCCCAATGCAGGGGGCCTGGGTTCGATCCCTGGTCATGGAACTAGATCCCACATGCATGCCACAACTAAGAGTTTGCATGCCACAACTAAGGAGCCTGTGTACCGCAACTGAGGATCTCATGTGCCACAACTAAGACCCAGCGCAACCAGAATAAATGAATAAATAAATGAAATATAAAACATCATCTCATCCACAAACAGTGACAATTTTACTTTTTCCTCTGCCATTGGATTCCTTTTATTTCTTTTTCTCATCTAATTACTATGGCTAGGACTTCCTAGACCATGTTGAATGAAAGTGGTGAGAGTGGTCAGGGTTAGAGTTAGGTTTAAGCACAATTCACCTTCTTCCCCTTCCTCCCTCCCTATATCTCTGAGGCCTCCAGGAAAGACAGGACTAGTCCTGGGTTACACGTGACCCAGGGAGTTGAACTGGACCACTGTTTCTCTGACCCCAGCCCTGGGCATAGTTTTGTATACTATCTCTGTACCTTCTTTGACCAGGTGTCCATTTAGAGCTTCCCATATTTTTAATGGGGTTGTGTTTGAGTTCTTCGTATATTTTGAGACATTCTTTTTTAGATACTTTTGCAGTTTTCTTTCCCCAGTGTGTGTTGTTTTTCGATTTTCTGAAAGAGGTTTTTCACACAGTAGAAATGTTTAATTTTATAAATCCCTTGTTTTTCATTCTGGACTGCTGTTTTGTGTTGTGTGTTCAAACCACAAAGCTTGTGATCTACATGACCATGCCCAAGCTCATATCAATTTTCTTTTATGTTTTCTCCTATAATTTTGAATAGTTTTGCATTTAATACTTGTCTCTGAATAATTTTGAGTGAATTTGATGTAAGTTGTAAAGCTTGTGTCTACATTCATTTTATTCCATACGGTTTCCAATTCATTGTTCCTTAACTACTTTGGAGAAGCTATGGGATATTGTCTTCATTTGTTTGAATTTCCACAATTTAATGGGTTGAGCCAGCAGGGGGCGCTGTCTCCAGTTACCCGTGAGGGAGGGGCGGCCTGCACTTCCCGCACCGACCAAAGGGTGGCGCTGATCCCGCCTTGCTGACCCACAGCGCATGCGCGTTCTCTGCAGACAGGGCTCTGAGCGTGGCTGAGGGGAGTTGTGTCTCCTCAGGCACCGCCAGGCTGCAGCTGCTGATGGGCACTCGGTCTCCTCAGGACTCGCTGGGGTCGGCTTCAGGACAACGTGGGGCTGCGTCCACGCTGACGGGAGCTGGGTTTCCTGAGGACGCGGGTGACGCTGGAGAAAAGGTGAGGAGACAGTGAGGAAAAGTGTGGAGAAGCTTCCTGGGGGCGACTGACGGCTGAGGGGGCCCTTATTCGTGCGACCCAGGACGGGCTTGGTGTGCAAAGCTGGGATTTTGGTCAGGCTGGTGTGCGGTGGAGCTGTGTGGGTTACGGGGTGTGCAGTCTTCCCCGCACCTTTTACCATGGGGCTTCCCTTCCGCTCGGTGTGTCCTTGGACCCCTTTTCGTAACTTAATGGCTCCCTCCCCCCGCACCGTGCGGAGTGGGTTCTGGGCTCTCCGTCCCGTCCCTCTGGTCTGTGCGCCTGTTTTGAGCCAGTTCCGCACTGTTTTGGGGACTGTAGCTTCGTGATGAAGTGTGAAGTCAGGGAGGGAGATGCCTGCGGCCCGTTCCCCTTTCTCAGGGTCGCCTTGGCTCTTCGGCGTCCTTTGTGGCTCCACACACATCTTAGGAGGATTTGCTCCATTTCTGTCAAAAACACCGTTGGAATTTCAGGATGGCCTGCCTTCCCTGTGTGCATGGCTTTGGTTTGAACGGACATTTTAGCAACAGTAATTCTTGCATTCCATGAGCACGGGGGTTTTTCCACCGACTTGTGTCTTCTTCAGTGTCTTCATGAGTGTCTTAAAGTTTTCAGGTCTTTCACATCCTCGGTTAAATTTATTCCTTGGTATTTTGTTCTTTTTGATGCAGTTGTAAATAGGGTTTTTTTCTCTTTCTGATGGTTCATTATTATTGTTTAGAAATGCAGTTGAGCTGTGTGTACTGATTTTGCATCTTTACTGAATTCATTTATTATTTCTAACAGGTTTTTTTGGTGGAATGATGTGGAAAATTGAACTTCCAAAATCCCGCTGTTACTACCACATCCAAGTCATCCACAACAGGGAAGAAAGGGAAGTCGTTTATATTGGGAAGTCCTAATAAGTCTTTCCACAGTGCCTCTAAATGACATGTGGACTTGGGGTGAACTGCATCTGGGTAAGGCTTTGCCTCTGTATGGAAGTTTGATGTTTCCTCTGCCTTTCTGGCATGGTTTTGACATGGTGTTTTGCAAAGTACTTGACTTTCCAGCAATTTCAAACGTACAGACAGCTTTACATACAGAAAAGCAAGTTTTGATTAAATATATTCCTAAATATTAATGTTGACATTATTTTAAATCGAATTGTTTTCATAAGTTCTTTTTCAGATTATTTATTGCTAGTATATATGTATAAGATAGATTTTTGTGAATTGATATTTTTTTCTATAACTTTGCTGAATTACTGATTAGTCAAATAATTTTTTGTTGTTATAGGAAGTTTTATATATAAGATGGTGTGATCTATGTTCTGTGAATAGACATAGTTTTAATTTTTCCATTCACATATGGATGTCTTTTGTTTCTTCCCTCAAAACTCTGGGTGGAACTTCCAGTACATTATTATCAGCAGAGGAGGCCAGCTTCCTGGCCTTGTTCCTGATTTCAGGAGTAAATCTTTCAGTTTTTAACATTGCGCATGGTGTTTGCTGTCGCTTTGTATCCTACTCTTTTTCATATGGAACAAACTTCCTTTTATTCCTACTTTCTTGAGTGCTTGTATCATGAAATAGTACTGGATTTTGATTATAGCTTTTCCTGCAGTAATTGATAGGATCATGTGCTTTTACTTCACTTCTTTATAGTTTTCAATACATTGCTTAGGTTTAATATGTTGAATAACCTGACATTTCCAGTGTAGAGATACTTGCTTATGGCATTATCCATTTAATGTTCTGTTGGCTCCATGTGGTTCTAATTTTGTGGAGGATTCTTGCATTCAGATTTCTAAGGTACACTGGTGTACTTTCCTGTCTCATGATGTATTTGTGTGACTTGATTACATGTGGCTTGGTGTTGGTGGTTTTAAGGTTCAGCATTAGGGCTGGGACTGGGTTATGGTTGACCTAAGCGACCCCGACGTCCCAGCCCAGGCCGCCCACCTCTGACCACTGTGTCCCCCCGCCAGCTCTGGCCCGGCCCTCTAGAGACTCCCCCCGTCCTCAGAGGGCAGGGCTGACCACCCCTCGGCCTCCCTCCCCCCTCTGCCCGTCCGTCCGTCCTCCCTGAGTCAGGACACCCCGTCCTCCATGAGGCTCTTGGATTCCGACCTGGGGGACCCACATGCTCCCACGAGCTGTGTCAACCATGAGGACTGTCACCTCAAGAGGCCCCGGAAGACAGACTCGCCGGGACCTCAGAATGGGACTTTGTGTGCAGATGGGCCACCACAGAGCTGCCCGGGGTGAGCCGAGGTCACTGACCGGTGTGCGGGCTTCCTCATGGGGGGCATTTGGACCCAGACACATGGAGGAGAAGGCGATGTCATGGCAGAGACGGAGACGGGGCTGGGAGTGGCCTGGGACCGACTGACCCTAGAACCCGTGGAGGAGCGGGCCCCCAGCACCTTGACCTCGGGCTCCAGGCCTGAGAGGAAGCGTCCCCTGTCCCCACCCCACCCCCCATCTGGTGTTCTGTGCCGGGGCCACAGGAATCCCACACCCGGCCTGCGGGGCGCGGCGCTGTGCTTGCTGACACCCACGACCGTCACCGGCCTCCCCCTCTCTGGACATGACCCCTTCTCCTCCTCAGTGAGGGACCCAGGGCCCAGGACCCCCGTCCCACACTTCCCCATCACAGCAACCTCGCCCCCTCCCCCAGCCACCCCTGGGGCATCTCAGGCCCCAGAAAGGAGCCACAGCAGCGTGGTGACTTGGCGAGTGGTCACAGGCCACTGCATCCACCCCGAGACCTGAGTGTGGCCATCTGAGAAGGGACCCAAATGCCCCCCAATCCAGACACCCCGTTTCACAGGGCAGGTCCTTTTGCCGAGTCTCTGGAGGGGAGTGTTGAGCAGGTTTGACTGAGGCCTGTGAACATGTGGGCCAGAGAGGTCCTCCCCAGGAGCCCAGGGACAGTGACCCCGGGACGTGTGCATCCCTCCCTTCCTGTGCCCCATGGAGTGAGGATAAAGCCCCAGTGACCCCCAAGAAGAGACAAGACACCCAGAGGACTAGACCATACACAGACCGGGGACTGAGTGTCCACCTCATTTCCCCACAGAGAACAATGTGTTAACTGGGACTGCAGCCGGGCCCATGTGCCCACCGACACCCACCTTTAGTGAACCAGCCACACAGGAAACCCCCTTCCAGGGTCCCCTGTGTTACTAGACGCAGCCTTCAGGGCAGGGGCCCGGCCCGAGCGAGAATGCACATGCTCCAGCGCCGGACACGCACTGCCCGTTCCCCTGCCCATCCCCTGGCCCCCTCCTGCGCCCTGTGGCCTCACCCCCTCAGGAACCCTCCTCTCCAGGCTCCGGGCACCCACATTTCCCACCTCCACTCCATCACTCTCCACTTCAATGTGCCCGTTTCCCCGCCAGGTGAAGTGGACGGCAAACGTCCCACACTGGTGTTTTCAGCAGCGTAGACGGGGCTTCCTTTCTCTTGCCGGCTGGGGTCTGGCCGAACACCAGGAGCTTCCAGCGGCACGGGGCTATGTGCCGCCCTGCAGGTAGCAGCCCTGATCCCGCCCTACAGCGCCGCCTGTTGGTCTCTCTGTCCTCCCATCCGGCACAGTCTTCACCTTCCCCGCTGCCTCCGATGGTCCCTCCACACTGTCTGGCGATCAGCCCCTCATGCCCACCGCCATCACCCCCAGCCCCACACATTCTCCTCCAGCCTCAAGCATGACCCAGGACCCTTCTTGGTCTCCCCGCCTGCCCACTCTTGGTCTGTGTCCTCAGTCCACCTATGCAGACAGGTGAAGATCCTCTCCAGAGGCTCTCAAACGCTTCAACCCTTCCTCCTCCCTGGGGTCGACCCATGTCCTGTCGGGATGTTCCACCCTCAGCAAGCCCCCAAGTACATGGCAAGGGCAGGCATCAGGCCTGCTGTGTGCACTGCTGTGTGTCCTGCTGTATACACAGGCATGACCCTGCCCCAGGGTGCAGGAAAGTCAGCGTTACCTTGGGACATGGGGAGAGGGGCTGCCCACAGGGTGGACGTCAGCTCTCGACTCACCAGGCAAGGGCAGCCGGGTTCTCGCTCCTTGGACCCTTTCTCACCCAGCCAGACCATGACCCGGCTTTGTTCCCACCCCTGTTGTCCCTCCATTGGCCTCGCTCTTGTGAGCAGAGCAGGACAGTGTGGTTTGTGGTTACAAGCTGAGACACACAGACCCTGGCTGACCTGCGTGCACCCATGCTGACCCCAGGGAACGGACACTGCAGCAGGGCCTGTGCGGTGTGGGTTCACCTGCCCACAGAGAGGCCGGGCCTCTGTCCTGGCTCCAGAGGTCACCTTGAGTCTGATGGGAGTGTCCGTGCTCCATGGGCCTCGCTCCAGGCTGGTATGTGCTGATGGCGTCATACACGGTGGGGCTTCCTTGGTCCCCCGTGGGGGCTGGAGGCCAAGGTCAGGCCTGTGGTGGTCTCCACATTGACGTGACAGACCCCAATAAACCCTGCACTTCATGACTCAGGTTGGCTTCCCTGGGCTGCCACAGCCAAGGAAGGTGGACCATGCTCATCCCCCTGTCCTCGCTGATTTTAACTTGCACCCTTCACCATAATAAACCCTGAGTACAACAGCTGCAGGGAATTCTGGGGGCAAGAAAAAAGCCACAGAGGGTGTCCCCAACTCTGCAGTTGGGGTCAGAAGACGGTGGGGAAGATTTTGGGGCCCTGGAATCTGAAGGGCTCCCCTACCAGGGGAGGGGTAGGAGACCCTGGGTGGCAGTTAAGCTGAGTCCAAGGCCCTCCTGTGTAGGAGGTTTCCTAGCCCCGGGGATCCTGAAGAGGCCGGCTCCCTTCTCCCCTCCGCCCCCAGGTCTGGTCCCTGCTCTTGAGAGATTCCCTAGGGTGGGGTCCTCGTGCTGGAGGTGCCCTGATGCTGTGGCCTCCTGAGTCTCCAGTGAGAATAATGGGAGTGGGGGAAGACCTGTTCACAGAAAGGGAGCTTCTGCTGGAACAGAGCCTGGGTCTGCTGCCCCCGACCCCAGGTGCACTGGGGCAGGAATGTGAGAGCTAGAATTTGGCTAGAATGCAACTGTGAGACCCTGAGGGGCGAGGATTGGCTGACCTGGGCAGCCTGACCCTGCCGGCCAGCTCTCCCCAGGTGTGCCTGCGTTGAGGTCAATATAAACACCGCTCCAGGCAGCAAGAGCCCCTGCAGCTGGGCCTGACGCCATATTCTCAGCCCCGTCAACAGTCTCGGGGCTGGGCTGGTGGTAGGGAGTGAGGAGCCACGGCTTTGTGGGTGGCCCAGTGTGAGTGGGGCTCTGCTGGACTTTCTGCAGGAGTTGCCGGGCTGCCACCTTCTAAAGGACAGGATGTGTCACCCATACCTTCTGCTGGAATTTCTCCCTGGGCAGAAGTGAGGAAAGAAAAAAGCAGTGGGGGCCGGGACAGGAGGGTTAACTCAGGCAGGAAAATGGAAAGCTTCCAGAAGTGCGCCCGTGGCCAGGACCATCCTGGCTGGCCAGCAGGCACCAACTCGGCCTGTGTGCTGTGTCTGGTGTGACTCTAAGCCCTTTCCTCTAGGCTTTCAAGTCCTTGCATGCATTCAGGTGTTTTACCTGGGTAGGCTGGGAACAGTTCAGCAGCAGCTGGCCTGGGGCTCAGCTCACGTTTACTCACAGAGGCCTTGGCACAGTATCCCAGCTTTGCAATGAGGACACTCCTGGTGGGGGTGCTACTGGCTGCATGGGAGATGATTCCCCACCTCTGACCAACTTCAGAATTGTTTACCACTGGAACAAGTGCCCTGATAGGGTTTTCATCTGTATAACAAGTGGGTTCTTAATTAGCAACGTGATGAGTGACATCAGAAGACTTGAATCAGGATGAAAATACTTATCCCCAACACATACAGGCGTAAAAATCTGGGGAGGCCGTGTGCAGCCAGCACCCTTAAGGATGGGCTTCCCACTGAACCCTCAACATTCTGGTGTCCAACCAATGTTTTACTTTTAGAGATAGAAGACTTTACACCTAGAGACGGAAGATTATACTTCTTGAGATAGAAGACTATAATCCTAGGGATAGAAGAATGTACTCCTAGACATAGAAGACGTTACATCTAGAGACAGAATATTATACATCTAGAGATAGAAGGCTATACACATAGCGATAGAAGAGTATC